AGCGCCAAGCCCGTCACCCTGCACTGTGGCCAGTGGGTGGCCCAGCTGGGGGCCTGTGGGGAGGCTGGCTGTGCCCCCACCTGAGAAGTGTTTTCAGGCTTATCAGAACAGCCCCGTGCAAGCTGAGGTGGGTCCGTTTGCCTCTGGGACTCGGCTTCAGTTCCCTGGACACAGAGTGTCCCCAGGTAGGGGGTCTTAGAGCTGTGCACCCACATCTGGAAAAGCACCAGGTGAGGACCTGACGAGGCAGTTCTTCAGGATGTGCGTGAGATGGGAGATGGCCTCTCGCGGAGTCAGTCTGCTAAACTCTGTTGACTGGAGAACGGAGTCCGAGCAGAACAGACATCAAGCTGCGGACCCTAATGGGTCACAGGCCTTTCAGAGGCAGAGTGTATGGTGACTTCAAGTTTCTTTGAACCCTAAAAAGCATTTAGCTTTAATACATTTGACCAATTCTATTTAAACATTATTTTCCTATGACAATGAGTCCGTAGTTTCTGTAAATAAATTCTTGATTCAAAAATTTGAAACAAAATTAAAAATTAGAACTTTAATTGCTGCTGATTCTTAAGAGCTGATCCAATAATAGGATTAATTAAAGAGTAAATGTGCATAGGACAATAAATGGGTCAAATGTAATACCATTTTACATCTTCTCTGAGTACATGTAGGACTCTGTGTTTTAAATGATTCACACTTCCTCTGTCGTGGGCAAGGTTTGCTGATTTGCTTCATTAAAGGCAGTAAACTAGGCCATTTTGTATTTCTGTGCTTCCAAAGCACACACCCTTGCAGAGTGAACGGAACCCACTCTCCGGGCAACCTCACAGCCTTCTCAAAGCCCCCTCACAGTTTCCAGGAGGCCTTGAGGCCACAGGGACTCACCTGTGTTCCCTGAGGCCAGCGCTGTGTCTGGAGGGAGCTGGGGCGAGGCGCAGGTGGGTGGCCCAGACTGCGCAGGTGGGCGTGTCCTGCAGCAGTGGGCGTGGCCTTTCTCACTGTGGAGAATTAGCTAAGCCACAGGGATCCTGGGCCTGGCAATGTCTCTGTGAACAAGCTTGTTGATCCAGGCCCAGGGGGGTGCTTGTCACAGCAGCCCAAGAGGAAGAGGAAAGACATTGGTGTCACAGGTCATCGCCTTTGTACACAAAAATTCAAGGAAAAAAATCAATTGACTCCTTTCTATCATGGTTAATTTAGTTTTAATTAGTTTCATTSCAAAACTTTCCATAACAATTCAATTTTAATTAAAATTTCAGTGGATTCTTTATAATACAGCAAATGATTCATATCAAGAAAATTTGTATCCATTTACCTTAAAGTAATATTAAATGGATTATTAAAAAATGTAAAAAGTGAATCATTTAATTGCTCTGGTAATGAAGAATTACACTGGATCCCTTGAGTCAAGTTCAAAGAATTTTTGACTTTTTGATCCCTTAAATCTTGCAATTTTTCTGAGSACCTGCCTTTGAGCCTAAGTGCCTAGCTTCCTCTAGTTATCTCCTCCAGTGTAGYCCCAGGGTTTAGTGAACTTCTCTTGGGCTCTTAGACACATCTTGGTTCTTTCTGCCCAGGAATGATGATAYCCATGCAGATGTGTTGTCATGTGTAAGTTAGGTTCAAAGAGTCGTCATTGCCTATTTACTGATAAATCTCCATCGTGACTCAAGTTATGAGAAATACCTGCTCAGAAATAGCAGATTTGCTTTCTGAGGTGAGTCTGCAGTGAGACATGGGGGCTCAGAAGCTGGCTCATTGCTCCTGTCTTCTCTTCCCACAAGCTGAAGCAACATAGTCTCCAACGTGGTATCAGTCACAAGTGGGCAGTTAATTTTGCAGTTATTATTTTGCATAGTGTAGACTTAGTTACCACCATTTGTTATTTATTTGCTTTAAAAGAGCCTCCAAATCTAAATGCCAACAAAAATATATCCAGAATTACTTCCTTGGGTTTGATTTCATGTTCTTCCATGGCTAACAGTGCTCAATTCTTCTTTCTTGCCCTTTCTTCTTGGGATATTATGAGAAATGATTATATGGTTGATGACTAACACAAGCTTCAGCTCASTGGTGACCTGTTTCAACTGAATGTCCTTAATAACATACTCTTCTAGAAAATTTGACCTACCAATATTCATTTCATCATTATAAATTGGGAGCATTATTGTGAACAATTTGATATAAAATGTGTTCAGCATCATTTAGGCTGTGAAGAGTGTCATTCTCTTCCTGAGCCCTTACTGTTTGTATCTCTCARATCTACATTCACCTTATGACCTTGGGAAAGAGCCTTGATTTGTGAATCATTCTATGCCTTAGTTTCCTCATCTACAAGTGAGGCTTAGYGATCTGTCACATAGGACCACTGGGAGAACTATGAGTGAATGTAGAGAACTTAGAAAATTTGTGCTAGCAAACATCATTTATTTTAGTTTATGCCTCAGCCTCCTTGTGATGGATTGAACCTACTTTAAAACTTTTCAGATACTCACAAATCTGTAAAACAYGTGGCAAGTTTGCTAAGAAGGAAAACAATCGAATAAAAATCTCTGGTAGTGTGGAGGGCAAGGGTAGGTGGGCCAGCCACCTCTAGCCAAGGGAACTAAACCTGCCTAGGTGAACACAGACACCACAGCTGGTGACAGGGAGCCCCAGTCCCAGGAGAAAGCTCTTCCTCTGCAGTGGTGCTTGTGGCACTCCCAGATGGCCTGGACCTGGGGGGCTTGGCTTGGCTTGCTCTGTGAGGGTGCACGGGGCCATCTCCCACAGCTGCTCAGGCAGCAGAGAGGCAGAGCTCTTGGGTGGGAGCCCCGTGGCTGCTCGATTGCCCCACGTCCCTTCAAGGCTCCCTCCATCCTCTTGGCCTCTTGCAGCTGAGGGGGAAGATGGGGAGCAGCTCTTGAAGACCAGGTCCTCATCACCCCACCCACCCCACTGCAGGCTCGTGGCCAGGGCCGCCTGCAGGACAGAGGACTCCTGACACAGCCCAGCCTGCTGGGYGGATTCTCCAGGTGGCACTTCTACAGCTACAGGAACATGTCCCTAGAAGTGTCTCTCTACCAGAATGTGCTCCCCGTGACACTTTGYTGGCATGTATTACATTTCAAGAGTGTGAGGCTTTTCCCAAACCTATAAGTCTTGAGTTAAAGCACCTAAATTTGATTTTCAAATAGTTTCCTCTGTTGAATGTTGCCAAATTCAACTTTAAGTAAAAATTCCTAATATTGGTGATTTGGTTCCCCAATCTGGTCAACAGATTCAGTGACTTTCTCCCCTTGTCCTCGTTGGGCCAGCGCCTTCACGAGTGTGAACATCCCCGGCTCTGCAGAGCAGCCCTGGGGACCTCGCCTTCTGGTTGTGTCCTGGTTTTCACCTTGTGCCTTCTGCCTGTGGGTCAGTAGCCCTCTGATTCTTCAGGAAGGAACAAGAGGACATTCRCATGGATGGTCCATGTCAGTGAATCATCACCGATGCCCAGGGAGGGCCTCTGTGAACGTCTTCTTGGGTGCAAGCTATGGAGCCATGGTCTTCCACCCGGGCTGTCTGACCTGGAAGGGACGCCAGCAGCCATGCAGTTTTCTGTCYGCTAACTGTGGCTAAAAGAATGCTTTGGAGTATAAACTGCACGTGAAGTAACAGGGGATGGAGCAGGAAGCCTTGATATTGTGGTGGAATCCCATTGCCATCTCTTCAGGTCTCCGAGTCAAGTCCCTGGGCCTCCCTCAGCACCTCCTCAAAYGCCCGTCCACTCCTGCCTGATGGTCTCTGTTCAGGAAGGAAGTCCTCAGGCATGTTCCTGCCTGATTCTCCCCTCACAGCCTCCCACACGAGGACAYCACCAGGCACGAGCCAGCGTGGTCCCCCCAAGACGCCCAGCAGCCCCTACTGCACTTGGGCTAGGGAACTGTGGCCTGTGATGTCACTCTCTCACTCACTGCCAAAGAAAGTAAGAGTCGTGCTAGGGCCAGATCGTGCGGAAGGGACCTGCAGAGGCTGTGCCCTGCCTGGGGCAGCCTGCGGGGGACGGAGTGTGCTGGCTTTCCCTTCCTCTTGGTACTTAATTAATGCTTTACTTGGGCTCAGCTCAACTTCATTGCTATTATTTAAACCAATACTTATCTTGTTGAATTTTTAAGAATCACTCTGCCTGTCACATYGTGTGGCTGGTAAAGTCGTTGATACCGAAGCCCAGGGGTCTGTCGCACACACGTACGTGCACATGGGTGTCTGTGTGCGTAGTGACTTCATTTCACCCTGTTTTTGTCATGGAATTTTAGAGCTGAAGGCGTTCTTAACTGACACYGTTCACAGTCATAGATGAGAAAACAGATGCTGAGGGTGTGTGACTTTCCATGATCAACAGATACTAGGGTTTTATGATTGTCGCTTCGCCATGGTTCAAGGAAGTTTGTTTTGTGTGATTTTGGAGTTGAAAGTCAACAGCCCTGTACTTCCATCAGGAAAAGGGGAAAGAGCATAGTGGTTGCCACGGGATGGTCTCCATCCTGAGACGGCGTGGACGGGACAGTGCTGTGGCCTATCAGAAGGCTCTGCTGCTTTCTGTGTCATTAGACCCCCTTAAATGCACTGCTTGATGCCAGGAAGTTCAAGAGCAGGAAAGCATGCTGGTCTCACAATAGGATCGGCACGTGGAGATGACCGGGCATTTCATGGGGGGGGGAAACAGGTGGGCAGAGGGGGCCAGGCCGAGATGTGGCCAGGGAGCTCTTCATAGGGTGGTGAGCTGCATCCGCAGAGGAAGGCCGTTCTATTACAATAACCAAGAAACTATTGAAAAGGGGGGAATGGGATGTCTTTTCTGCCCCGTGATTAAGCTGTAAAAGTAAGCCACTACTCTGTTTTTATAATTTAAAAAAAGGCATAAATGAGGGACATGCATTGGTAGAAGAGAGGGTGATCATAATGTTGGAATTTTTGATCTATTAAAATCAGTAATTCCACTTTTGAATCCTCTTTTAATGTCCTATTTATTTTAGCTGAATGTGGAGCAAGTGTGAAAGGAAATGAAGGCACATTACTGTCTCCAAATTTCCCATCCAATTATGATAATAACCACGAGTGTATCTATAAAATAGAGACGGAACCTGGCAGGGGGATCCGCCTCAGAGCGCGGAGCTTCCAGCTGTTGGAAGGAGATACGCTAAAGGTAAGCCTCRAGCTGGTGCATCTGTTTACCACCTGCCTTCCTCCCTACCATCCATCCATCCGTCTATCACCCGTCTACCCACCTGTCCATCACCCATCCACCAGTCCAATATCCTCCATCACCCTCTTCCTTCCTATGTGTTCATCTTCTATCCTTCTCTCCATCGATGTATCCATCTATTCTCATATCGACCTCCATGGGTATATACTGATATACCTCCATATACACATAATTTKTTTCCATTTATTTATGCAGTTGCTTTGATGAAGTAGAGCGTGGTGTCATTTTGTAGAGTCTGTGTGGATTTAGAAATCATTTTGTCTATGATCCTAGATCCAACTAACATTGATAAGTAATGTGTTGTGGGAAAATTATTTGATATGCATGGCCTTTGCTTYCTATGTGTAAGACCCGGCAACAGTACCTTCTTTTTGGCTGTTTTGAAGACTAAATAACTTAACRTATGATGTTTGTGACATCATGTCCGGCACACAAGGAAATCATTCAGACCTGCGGGACCCCAGGCCAACCCTTTCTCCAGGTGTTCTTTTTTATGAATGTGGCTGTCACATTTGGAGCTGGAGGATTCTGGTGTGCTGATGGGGACAAGCCCAGCTACTCTCGTGGTCAGCCAGGGAGTCGCTGGGCTGGACCATGACCATTGCTCCACGGGCAGCAGGCCCCCAGCTCTGCCATGATTCCTACAGCTTCATCTCCATCTGTAATCACCTTCCGTTTCTAAGGCTTCTGGCATAGACCTCACCTACCCYGTGACTCTTTCAAGGAAGTGGGGCCCTTGCAAAGCCCGGGAACAGGATGGTGGGCATTGCAGACCCAGGACGATGAAAGAGACAGGCTTTGAGCAATGAAGGCCAATGTTGWAAGTCATCTGGCCCAGCCAGCTGCTCCTCGTGGGGGAGAGACGGGCAGCTGGACCACACCAAAGCTGGTGCCTGGAAAGGGAGGGYCACGTGCTCATTTCCCCTCTACAGTGGGTTTCAGTTATATTTGCAGCCTCATGGTTGCACACAGAGACACCTCTCAAGTTCAACAGATTCAAATCACTTTAAGCTTTAAGAAGTGGGCTGCTCTGTGTTGGCCGTAGCTTTGTGCAGGGTGATCTGACCCTCTCGACCTCGTGGGCAGTGATGTGCAGGGTCCAGAGCAGCTCACAGACCGAGTGCCTGGCTGCCTCTCAGGTACAAGGTGCACCACTTTGCAGAGGCATCATTTAACAGAGCAGTTTTAYGCTGGCTGTCCTTTGATTTAGTAGTCTTCTGAAAGCTCATGCTGAGAGCATGAAGGGCTGTAATTAAGAAGTGTTCTTCAGTCAGGAAGCTGGAGCATTCCTGCTAATCTAAAAAAAAATTGTGAAGTTGAGTCATAAGAATTTTCTGAATTCATTGACAGCCTCAAATTTAACACAAAACTTTTGAGTGACTATTCTCTGGTACAGGTGAGTGATGAGAGATACTGTGTCAAATATGCATTGATAAATAAAGTCCAAGTGGAGGGAAGGGAATCATGCTCATTTTTAATTAGGAGCAGCTTGAACTTGTTGACTTCAACAAAAAGTAAAAATAAATCTTTAGTTGCAGGGAAACTGTCAATCACATAAAATGCCAAAATATTTTGCCATCTTATGTTTTGTAGAATGTTCTAATAGATATCTCTGTTAAAAGTGCTTAAATTTTCTTAATTTTGGAGCAAAATCTGTTCACATTAATCTTTCACACATGCCATGATCCAATAGCAAAGACGAAGATGTTATGTATGCACACTACCCACATTCCCCCCAACGACATGTAAGACAAACAGCTCTTATGAAACTTTGTGAAAAGCAGGTTTGGGAAGAGCCAAGGTATGGTTCCTGGCAGCAGGAGAGATCTCGTGAGAACTCAGCATCAGCACTCGGAGATGCCTGGTTTTCCAGTTGCTCACCTGCTCCCTGCTCCATCCCTCTGATGCACTGACTAAATGCAAGCTTGAAAGGGTCCTCAGAGCAKATGGCTGTCACCTGGTGTGAAGCAGGTGGCTCCAAGGCTCTTTCTAACATCTGGAAGAATGCTTGGAGACAGCTGCTTAGATGCAGAGCTGCAACCTGGAGATGTGCAGACCCAGCAGGCCCATTGCTCATTACCCTGGAATCACCCGGGCATCACACCTGGCTCTTTCTTGGTGATGTGTGCAAACCCYGAGCCCTCACTCACCATGAGAGAGGCAATGAAGCAAAGCTGGTTCAGGCTTGATCTTRGGTCCTCAGTCAAGGGCAGCATTAAGCACTAGTGATGTGGACATGCAGGATAGAGCCACCCACTGTTATGGAGAGTCAAGGAGTTAAGTGTTCAAGCTGCTCAGCTTTGCTGMTGTAACCGTGAGGCCACCAACTTGGTGACACTCTGTGGGGTGCAAGGTCTAGCCCCTTGAGGGAGCCAGGTGGATGCAGCCATGTGGGAGGTGGTGTCCAGGACTGAGCAGAGCTGGCCGTGAGTCCTGTTTCACATCCGGCCCAGCTCTGTGGGCCTAGCCAGGTGCCCTTGGCCTTTCTGGGAGACCTGATGTTTTTTCCTTGAGACAGATTTTCCTCGGGGCTTAAAACCCTTCTGTTTAGCATGTCAGATGCCTTCCAAGTTCATGGAAGCCCCATCTAAAGTCATAGAGACTTCTTAAAAACCATAGCCTATGGCAGGAGCCTTTTAATAAGGAAATAAGGGAGAAAATGATTACATRACACTGTGTATACAATAATTGCTGGCAATAAAATAACTAATAATGCTTCTAGATGTGTCTTCTTTCTCATGAGTGTGCTGGCGTGTAKAGTCTGCTGAGCAACGGGTGTGGTGACGGGGAGGAGTGAGCCAGGGTCCACGTGAGGMGGGCAGAGGGGGAGAGGACCAGGCCTGGGAGCACCGACATGGAGAGGATGGCCTTGAGAGGTCAGGGTGCTTTCAGTWAGGGAAAACTGGCCTGGTCCACAGGGCGGCTCTCTGCCTGAGGGAGGGGCTCGAGGATGGTGCCTGTGTCCCAGCTGCACTGGGATGCCCGAGGCCACCACGCTCAGTCGATGTTGATGCCATTTCCTCAGACACACCTCAGCTCAGAGAGTGCCACGGGGTGGGGTCCCCATGGAGTGTCGTGACCCACTCCCACTGAGGTGCAGGTGGCTCCCTGAAGGTGGGGAGTCCTCCAGGAGCCCTGCCCCTCACCAGACATCCCATCACCACCGAGCCCTGTGTGCACTGCCTTCTGCGACTGATCATAGCCGCTGAGTTCCACAGTCAGAAGACGGCCCGTACAAAGTGTTCCAGGCTCGATGACCCGTCTGCTGTTATTACATGACGGGACTCTTTCATGACAGCAAATCCAAGGCTAGTCCCCCGCGGGCCTGAGAACTGTGCTGGGCCGGGGTTCGGTAGTGCTGTGGTTCCCTGCCTTAGACAGGGGAACGAGGGAGGGACATCCACGTACACAGCTGGGTCTGGGCGAGACTCTCGCCTCTGGAACCTGCTAGATCTTCCCACCTTTCCACCCTGAGGAAGGGACGAGAGGAGACAGCAGAACCCAGGAAAGCACAGAAACACTCACTTAATTTTACACAAACAGGAAAGAGCTCTCCAGGTAGCCAGTGTGAGAGGATGGGATGGAGTCTGTGGCGAGTAGCATTGAAGGGAAGGATGAAGCTCAAAGAAAATAGATGATTTAGTGCTTCTGAATACTTCATAAAAGTGCGTCTTTGAGGATTTGAATGTCTTGTTAAAATTGCTACCATGCGAATATAGCAGGGAACGGGAGGACTCATGCTGTGAATTTTCACTAGGTTTATGACGGAAGAGACAGCTCGTCTCGAGCCCTGGGAGCCTTCACCAAGAAGGAGCTGATGGGGCTGACCCTCAACAGCACCTCCAATCACCTGTGGCTGGAGTTCAACAGCAACGGGTCAGACACCGACCAAGGATTCCAACTCACCTACTCCAGTAAGCCGCTGGCGCYGGCCCACCCTGTGCCTTTATTGATCTTCTCTGTCCGTCCCCTACCATGTCTGATTCCATACCTGTCYAAACCAGTAAATTCAGAAACATTAGGAGAAGCAGCAGTTTGAAATTTATCTCTTTAGAGGTATGCRTATTTTTTAATAATCAAATAGCTAGACCTGAAGAGGAAAGAGCTTGTGACATTGAAGAGCTGCTGGGGTTAAAGATTGATGGTGGCATAATGTGCACCATCCAAAGGCAGACTAACATGGATATGAAGGATTTAGAGTGAATGCTTAAAATGGGGTCAGCCCCATCAGCTTGTTCTTGATGAAGGCTCCCAAGGCTTGCGACTAATATATATATAAAATATATATTATACTTTATAAATTATATGTATGTACATATATAATACAACTGCATACACACAACTGCATATACACAACTGCATATACACAACTGCATAGCAACTGGATCTTGTAGATTCTTTTCTCACCACTCATTCCCCCGATGATAGAACCAACAGTCGTTTGAGTACTCACCAGAGAGCCTTTCTCTGAGTTGGTGGAGCGTGGATTTGACCTGCAGCCTACAGTTTAACCAGTGTTCTGCAGCACCCTGTAATAATGCAAATCAGCTGGRTATGGTGGCACAAAGATGACCTTCTCCCTGCAACTCTAGAGGCTGAGGCAGGAGAAGGGCAAATTTAGGGGCAGTCTGAGCAAATTAGGGAGACCCTGYYTCAAAAAATAAAAAGGGCTRGAGATGGAGCTCMTCCCTAAAACACCCCCTGGGTTTGATGTCTGGGGACCTCCCAAAATGCAAATCAGTATGGAAGGTTTCCTTTTTAAGRTATAAATTAAAAAAGACAAGAGAGGTAAAGTAATTGTTGCTTTTTCAAAAAAGAAGAATCTCACTATAATAATTGCCATTTGCAACATTCTTAGTTACAGCCAAATTAAAAACAAAAATAGCTATTTCCTTTGGATAACTAAAGGTGATTAATCAATTGAAATGCTTTCAATATATAAATAGTGCAATCTTTTACTAGTCTGATTTTAGAATTTTATGAAAATGTCCCAGGACATGGGAAATTTAGAAATTCAGATTTTTTTAGTGTGAAATGATGTGGGTGCCCATCAGAGCTGCTGCCTTTATTTGACAAATGAGCAAATGAATTTCTGGAAAGATAATCATCACCCCTCAGACCCCAAGCTAATCTGGGTGCCCAGAGGAAGATCAATTGCCTCAGTCCCCTTAATACAAAAAAAAAAAAAAAAATCATGGTTGGTGGATTTTAAGACTGGACAAAAACAGAGTGGCCGATGTCCTGAGAAGGCCTACTTTTCACTTTCATGATAATCCCATTGAAGACTCACCAAGTGAAAGCATTTCAGTTGATTCCTATGCTGAAGTCAGTGATGGTGGACAGCCTGGGAGGGATTGACAAGCATGGCTTTCTTTAAGAGACCCCAGCCTTCAGAATCTCACCCTCCAAACACTGCAGAGCTCTTAGGAACAGTTTTCAGTGCGGGCAGGTAGAGCACACACTGGGGACCCTTCTCCTGTGCTGTGGTCCCTTCCTCGTGCTCGGCAGTGTGCTTCTTGCTTGGATGCATCGACACCCCCCTCCTGGCTCCTGGACTGCACTGACACTTGGGAAGGCAACTGCAAAGCCTTCRGGTAGCCTTCTCAGCACAGGGTGGACAGGAGGACATTCCCACGTGCACCCAGGGTTCCTCAGTGCTCCCTCCACTGAGCACAATTGGATGCCTTGGCTTATCGCACAAACCGCGTCTCCTTTCCCTGTTCCTCACCAGAGAGCAGAGAGCTGTGGCCAGGGCGCCAGGGCTCACCTTCCACTGTGCTGCCCTYGAGAGGCCGCTTCCTGGGAAGAGCCTTGGGCCAGGCTGTGGCCTGTGTCTCCCTGCTGTTCCCGACCACCTGTCTCCCCTCCTTCTGATACCTTCTGGAGCAGTTCTTGATTCTCACACACTTAGCTCTGTTCTCGTGGATGTGCAAAAGTCCCCAAAGCAACGCTTGAGCGTGCAACCTCATGTGGCCAGCGTCAGAGGGGAGAGGGCCACTGGACTGTCCACAGCCTTCTGCTGTCTCCTTTGTTCTTCAAGCAGTAGTTAGCAAGGCCTRGGTGGAGACAGGGGTTGCAGACTTTCCATTCCTGACACCCACCCACCCTCACCAAGAGGGCTTCCTTACAGTCTCTCCTCAGCCCCCACTTGGCCCTCTTGGGTGGCCAAAGCTCCTCATTTGTCTTGATGGCGGCCCAGGCTCAGGACATCTGGCTGTCCCGCCAGGTTTCCCGAGGAACTTTGAGAAAGTTTGAGTCAGTGCATATTACCTGGACATTCCAATTACATGGGTACATTTGCATAGTAGCACAAGCATTCTGGAAATAGAAGAAGAAGCTCTGGAGATGATAGGCCTGTGGTTCTCACTCAGACCCATACAACAGGAGGCATCCTCTCCCCTGCCCATCACTCCACCCGTCTCCACCCTCAGAAGCAGACTGTCCTGGGAGAAGTCCCCTTGTAGAATCCTCGTAAGTCTGAGCAGGCTGCTGCAGGGAAAAGATATTTGTGATGTGGAATTAATGGTGCTGATGGCTAATCAAAATAGTATTAACCCCCCACTAAATTCTAGGGTTTAAACACTAAGTAATTAAGTTTAAGAAATTCCAAGCTCCCACAGTGCRATCGAATACCTGAATTGAATATCCATCCCTAAAAGATAGATCAGAAATGATGATAACTGTTTTCAAAAGACTTGTGATTTCCTSTTGCTAGTTAATTGCTTTTACTTAAGGAAATGTTCATATTTAAATGTTTTAGATCCATAATTAATGTGCTTACATGAGTGGATTAGTCATCAGAATAAATATATAGCTTAATAAATAAGCTGTGGTTTTTAGAAGTGAAGACAAATAGCACACATGTGCTATTAGTATTAATAGAGAGCTCYGGGTTGCTTCCAATTTGAGCACCTTGGCAATTCTGGGTCTTGAACGGTGGCTTTTAATCCTCTTCAGAAGTTAGAAAGTATCTTCCTATCTCTAAGTGACCTGCTGGAGCTTCACACCAGGCGTTATGTGCTTGGGACCCAAATCCTCATCTCCTGACAAAAACCCAGAACTATTGATGAACTTACTTTCAGATGTTTTAGGAGATGCACTTTAATAAACACCACATATATTGACTGATAATGAGATGTGCCAAGACATTGGCAAGGAAGAAAAACAGATCAACATTGGGCCCACCCAGAATAAATACACTAATTAACAGGCATTGATTAAGCCACTACTGTTTTCTAAGTAGTCAGTTGGACCAAAATAAAACTTAAGAAGTCTGCCTCTATGACAAAACACTGCTCTTACTATAGATTTGTCTGTGCTATAACATCCTGATCATGCCGTGGGCCATTTCCTGTGAGCTCTCTGACAGCAGGGCCCACRGGATCTGTTTTGCACCCCTGTGCACCTCACGCTGATGTGTGACCTGTAATATGAGTCTGGATTAAGATGTGGGATTAGCAATGTGACGTGAATGCCCCTGGATCCCCAGTCCTCCACTCCGGCTCCAAGAGTAAGGAGTGGAGTCTCAGCAAGTCTAAGGAGCACTTTAGTTCTGCTTCCTCACAGTGATTTTGAGCTCTTAAATATCAGCAAAAATTGTCTTGACAGTGGGTGACTACATTTTCTTAATATATGGAGAATTTTTTTTAAAGAAAAGGAGTTTTGGAATTTTTTAAAAATCCCATATTGAGCTCAAACTCCTTTTAAAAACATGTACTTTTGAGAACTTTACAATAATGATTTCCTGATATTCATTCTTAAGAAACTTTACCACAGGACCTACAGAAACATGGAGCGAGCTTCTGCACTATCATTTAAATAGTGAGAAACAAGCAAACCCTCTGCACAATTTAACAAAGAYGCTGGCTTCCTGGGGACACAGTGCAGGAGCGTTGAGCGTGCACCTCAAGCTGTGCTGGGGCAGCCTTTTCCCACTACTCAGGAGACCTGCCTGGGCGCCTGAGTGCTGAGTGGTCAGCACTGCACTGACACAGAAGGACAAAGCCACCGTCCCTGTTGACTAATAAGTGATGTCAGAGAGCCCCCATYGGCACTGTGTGACTGGTGTATAGGACTGTGGCTTTCCCTCCCGCRTGCAGATGCACTAGGATTAAGTGCYARCMGTGCGTGGGTCTGGAGATGGTGAAGGTGTCCGCGCACAGCCCCAGTACACAGTGGCAGGCGTGTTTGGCTGTAATATCATTTTTTACTAAGCTTAAGCTTTGCTCTATCAACGTACTCTTGCTTTTGTACCTCCACAGAGCTACGCAGTCTGTACACAGATGCTGGTGTGTGTGTGTGTGTGTGTGTGTGTGTGTGTCCATCAGCAGTGACTGTGCAGGGTTCTGCAGAGGAAGGGGAGGCACCAAGACTGCAGGGGTCCTGCAGGCTCTTGCTGAACGTCTTCATCTCCCCAGTGGACAGCAGGGTTCCACTCCACTGTCGTCCACACAGGCTGCCCATCATCTACCTCCCCTAAGCGCTCTTTCCTCAATGCCCCAAGCCCCCAACTTCTGTCCCTGGGTCTTATGATTTCACCGGCAAGCATGACATTCTCGTGAGGGGAATCTTTACTTGGTCAACTCTGGGCCACCTACTTAGAGATGAAGATAGTGGTCAAGTTGGCCCAGAATTTGCAGGAAGGAGGGAGACTGAAGTCAGAGGGGCACTCCCAGGGAGAGCAAAATTTCAGTCACCTTGCAGAGAGTGGGCTGTGGCCTTTGAGCCATGCGTCTGTGGAGATGGAGACTGAGAAGAGAGGAGGGTGTGTGTGAGGAGAGACGGACACCAGCCACACACACACAGCTCCACAACTGGCCTCATGTGTCCCGTGTATCTCTGTGTCCTGGGCTGGTTTGAAATCTTCAAATGGATTGTAGGTTCCTCAAGGGAAGTTATATTATTATGTGTTTGC